CCTTCGAAGATTTCGGAGAATAAGAAGTGGTGCTCCTAATGGAAATATAAATCGCAACAAGGGATTTAAGAACATTTTCTAACCATCTTCTAAGTAAAGTACGCCCTATCTTTTCGTTAATCGATCTACTGTCCAAACACAAAAAACTTCAAAACCGAACCGAAGTAAAGATTTTCACGAATCACATCTGTTAGCAAGATGTTATCCGTTGTCTTACCTGTCCTTTGAATAAAAGATGGTATTTATTTTTATTCTCGCGTGACTGTTGTTAACTGTATACGAAACATAACAGATTCAAATCACTGGCACTTAGCACAACTATCCTTCACCTTTGACAGTTCATTAATTGGCTCGCTGATGGGATAAAAGTGCACTAGTTGCCAAACATAAATAACAGAAAGATTTACTCCCTCCTCGACTACAATTTCATTCAGCTAAGAGATTCATGTTAAAGTATATTCGATCAGCTGCAAATATATATTCCAAACATATTAAATGTTTTCTTTCAAATCCCGGAGATTAATTTTTCAACACTGCTCTTCTTTTTGTTTGAACTCTACAGAAACGAATCGTTGAAGTACCTTCTCTTAAACTGATCGGTCACACGTTTACCAACTGCATTCCTTCCAAGTTCAACAAACCAGCTGCCGGAGAACGGTACGTTGAACAATATTGTTGATAATTAAGCAACGTCAAATTCTTCCTTAAAAACGCATTTACTAACCACATGGAAAACGGAGTTTATCATCGTAAAGATGTTAGTTTCTCATGCACTTATGCAAGTTACAATATTTTTTTCACTGATCAACACTATAATCATGCGCTAATTTGTTTAATGATTCCTTAAGGGAAAAGTGCTGAATTTTATTTTTTTTAAAGATGGCAATGCAACAGTAAGGGTTGCAGCTTGCACTGATTATTATGCTGAATAAGAAGCTGTCATGCCTATCAAAGCAAATATTAGTCACATAAGGCTTTCGCTTCAGGCAATAGTGCTATGATTCTTGAAAATTCAAGTTTTATCTATATCGGAACCTCATACTGCCTCTGTTAAAAACAAATTACTACCCATTCTTCGGCTGGTTGCACACATGCAATGGTATAAAAATTTCTCTTCAACGGAATTTGTAGTTAAGAGTATTAAATTATTTAATTTCAGGAATTAAGCCTGGAACCTCCGAAGTTCCAAGCTGACTTCCGTTTTATCCAGTAACGTTTCGACTCATAAGGGCGGTTAGCCCTATATTTACTTAATTTTTTATTACTAGATAAAATCTCTTCCTTTCTTACCATATAAGAGCACTCAGTTTCCATCTGTAAAAAGATTTCGGGCAACTTTTCCGGTTGAGATTCGAATAAAGCTATTTTTTCAAAGTGAACATGAACCTGCATCGACTAACTCATTTTATTCGGCAGACGTGAAACTCTATAAGATTACTGTTTCAACAAAATATTAAAAAGTCTATGACTACTAATCGAGACGTAACGACTGAGACATTTGCGCTCACTGATTCACTGAGGAACAACTGTGTAAACGGTTTACGCAATGCTGTTTGCCTACCGAATATAACATGCTGACACAGTTTCAGCGCATTTGAGTTAATATTTGAATCTAAGTAATGGTTTACAGCCGAATTTCTGTCCGAGTAACTTTGCAAAGCTTTACACTCATGTCGTTGAAGCAGTAGTACAACTGAAAGATTCGTCATTTTCGGGGTGAGGATAATCATGGGAAACTCTTTTTTTGCTGTGTATTGTAAAAGTAGGATTTGTTCTAAATCCCTTATAACTTGTTTTCTTGTGTTACTAACGTCAAATAGTGTAGACGCTAAATTCTGGTAAAAGTTGTTGTTGAAAAGCGTGATAAATCCGTCATCTGGCATGCACTAACGAATAAATAGTTTACTGCTCGAATGGGATTGCCAAAAAATCGTCTTACAGAAAAAAATACATAATAATTATGTAAATATCACCATACTCAAAACAGATAACAGAAGGACTCGAGCACTTGGAGCTAACAAAATGAATCTGGAACGTACGAAGCTGCGCACCAAGGAAAAACTGGAAGAAGACCTTGTCATATTGAAGGAACTTAAGTATTTTTGTTTAACTGCCATTGGACTTCGTAGAATGCAGAAAGTTACATTCTACGCGAAATCTGTGTATGGCTTTGCATGTTTTATTTCACCGAAGAATTACGGTGGCACTTTTCCAAAATTTTTAGTAGTCATTTTTGTGACGCTAGGACGAAGAGAACTAAAGCAATAAATGTTGCAAGTGAACCTACAACTCTATTGCTGATCACACAAGATGCTGTAGGCAACATTCTGTAAAATGAAGAACAGTTCAACGACAAAACAAAGCGTGAGCGCGTAGGCTGGAATAAAGGAACTTTATACAAAATGTGATAAAAAATACGTTGATCTGAGCTGCCAAAAAAGGGTTTCCAAAATCCAAAGTACTGAACATTATGCGTGGAAGCGATGGAGCGGTAGTGACAAACCGATTGTTAGCAATCCGACAAGTATCACTGTTTCTGCAATGACACTACTGTGGTTTTAGGAGAAGGTTAGAAAGTGTTAATTGCATGAAGTAAATGTTTGTAAGTCATTTATGCGTAATATCAGTCTTTTTAACATAAACTGCATTTGCCTCAAATTTAAACAATCTCTTTAGCGTCGAAGTGAATTAGTTTTCGTTGGCCATCATTACAAAGCATTGTTTTGCAATTTTTAAATGATTTCAATGTATCTGAAATTTTTCTAGGTTATCCGCATTGCAGCTACATACGAAAGTTACCCCATAATGTTGCTATAATGAAATGCGTCATTAAAAATTGACATTTAAGCGTTTGAAAGTGGTAATGTCATAGACAATGTATCGTAAAATAATTTAAAAGAATTTGTCCTTTTGTGCCACGAGTACGTTTTGCTTGGAACAAAACTTAGAGTTAGCGTACGAATGTCTGCTTCATGCCGTGTTACATCCATAGACTTCACTGCTGATGCTCAATTGCCATGGAATTGTTACCTGCTTAAATGTTTTCATTAAGCGGCTGAAAGCATAAAGACAGGGCAGCATTGCCGTGACGTAATGAAACAGACCCTCTAGGATGGCCTTAGTGCAAAAAACGGGAGTTATTGTAAACCAAAGTCTAAAGATAGTACTTTCGAACTAAAAAGCATCAACAATGGTGCCATGGACATGAATGTGCTTTGAGTACCACAACATGTTGTTTGTGTGTTGCAGACTGGTGAGTACTCTACTCAGTCATCCTGTGTGCTGGCCATGCTCAAATGCTCTGTAGCCGTGACCCATTTAAATGCTCTCATCAGGTGCCTAAAGACGATCCCGTGCAACATTGCCGTAAATACGATGAAATGACATGCATCGACATTCCTTACGGTAGCATTCGTATAAACTAACGATAGTTGATGCAAACGAAAACGTAAAGGAAAACAAAACAGAATATTGCACTGTTATCAGTCAGAGTAGTAATATGCTAGTGGAGTGGATAATAAAATAGCAGAATCGA